TGAACTAGGGCAGACAAATTTTTTCCGTGCCACATTTTGCATTCCCTTCCCCCTAAATTTTGTCTTTCATTTTCCACTCTATTTCTTCTTTCTTAAAACCGTTCTTCATTGCGATTTCGCCAACAAAAAATCACTAGCGACGGACACCGGGCGACCCCATGTAATCATGCGTTTTTGCAGTATTTCGCGTTGCTGTAAGATCGTTTGGAATCCCAGTAGCTAGAATTTATAGCATACTTGTTCTCGAAGTTCAGGAAATTAATTGTGTAATTACATGGTACCTGGTCAGGAAACAAACCCTCAACATCTCAGCTTCCTGTCTTTTCCGGCCCGAATTAGCAATTTTCTCAACAAAAATTTTCGCAAGGCCGCATGTGAGAACCACGCATTTGAAATAGTTGAGTTACACATGGGCTGGGAACATCCCCTTAAAATTTCAGCTTCCCAGTTTTTCCGCTTCACGAATTCGCGATTTTTTCGCTAGGAAACTTCACGGGGCCGTACGTGAAAGCCACGCACACCTGGGGCTGGATTTGATATCTTTGAGTTCTATGTGGACGAAGAACATAACCGCAAAATTCCAGCCTTCTAGCTTTTCTGGTTCCCGAGTTAGCGATTTTCCCGCCAAGACTTTCATGTGCTTGCACGCGGGGCCTTGGCTTGCATGGGGTTTGGTACCGCGGTCCTGGATTAACACTTGCCCGGGAAACCCAGTGGCGAAATTTCGGCGCCAGAGCTTGCTAGGTTGTCGAGCTGAAATACCCGTGCAGATGTACAAGCACACACCGCGGCTGTCACAATATGCGTTTTTGTATCTGCATGTATGCAATAAAAACGCATAATAAGCCTATTTTGCACAAGGCAGGTGGAAGGGTATGCTGATGATTCCCACTACCATCGGCACCCAGTGCTCCGTCTGTGTTCACGGCTACGAGAATAAAACATCTACTGCTTACCCAACATGCTGATAACAAGCACAAAATTGCATGCTCGCTGATTTCACCTCATTTTGAGGTTTCTTCGTCGATCGCAGAAAGCGGGTGCGTGGAAAGGAGCGTGAAATTTTTTAACTGGAATGCTTAACTTACCACAGAATGCGTGTACTACTCCATGTCACCGAGCGTTCTCTGGCAGAAAGTAGCAATACACATCAGAGCGATATGCGCAAATACAAAAAATTCGAAAAAACTGCAAAAGGCGCGTTGCAAGCAATCTCCTCAAACCATTGACACACCGTGGTAATAATCAATTCACCGGTAAACCACAGGCGCCGGAAATGCTGATTATGCTGCAAATCGATACAGGTTAGAAGAAGAGCACTAATTGACGGCGCGGCAACTGGCCACGCAAACAAACCAGTGACGACGACGACGAAAACGTGGCACTTCGTCGGGTGAGCGGGGTATAACATCACGTACGCGCTGAAAGCATTCATCGGACGACAGCTTCTCCTCGGCTTACCGCGTCCACAGCAGCTCAGCAGGTCCACGATAAGCGGTCAGTCTGTCTGTCCAGGGCCCGACGGTGCAGCCCACATGCCTGTTCACAGAGTTGGCTGCCCACCACAAATAAGCACATACAGAAGTGATGCACGCGCTGGTGAGCGAAGCGCAAGCAATCCCGAGAATTGCTGACCCACGCCACACGGGCAACACGAGACGCAGAGCTCAAGCATCTTCCGCACCAGGAGACATAAGCGGGCAGGCCTGATCAGCTGCACGCCGATCGTAGCATTTCTGTGCAAGCGAGCACGCATCACAGTAATAAAACGAATGCACCGGCAAGCTGCTTCTGCAGCTGATCCAGTGGGGGAACGGTGGCGCAACACAGCTGCTAGCCCGCATCCCGGGGAAGCAGCTTTCAGCTGCACCGGCGATGCAGCGCAGGCTGCGAGCGAACGCGCCGCAGTGTGGCGAATAATTAAGTACAGAAGTTTGTAAATTTCAATAGATAGGTAAGGGGAAGGGTCTTAGCCGGTTCCGGCCCATTCAGCAGCTGAATGATGGCAACAGTGAAGGTCGTCGTTGTTCCCGCTGTTGTCGTCGTCGGCGCTACGGACGCTACTGCTTCGAAAATTGCGGTTTACTTGAATTAACTACGAAGAAAGTGTCTGCTAAACCTCGGCTGCCGGGCTTTAACGAAGGCTGCGAACCTCCACAGACGAACAGGAGGTGTCCACTCCTGTTTCCGTGCTCCCCGCCTAAACGGCCCCTCTGCCACTCACGCTGCACAGACAGTCCGCGTTCTAGCGCTTATTTTTATGCTTTAAAAGCACATCATTTAGCCCCTACCAGCTGACCTTAACTGTTAGTGTCGCTGCATATCACACGCTCCCATTTTCCACTTTGCCATACGAACGATTTTAGCGTCTCGTAGGACAATGGGAGAGGAAGTCGCCCCCCAAATGCGTAAAGCGCAGGTTCCACGGGACTAAAAAAGAACTGCCGATGCAGAGGATGCCGTGCCAGAAAATAAATCAGCCGTTGTCGCGACACGTAATTCACTCTTCAACAAACACTGGGTACCAGGTATCGGAGAATGGTAACCACACAAAAAAACCGACTATTCGGATACCTTCGAAGAATGTGCAAGCACAAGCAGCGGATATGTTTGAACAAGAAAAGGAAGAAGGAAAGCCCCAAACAGCTGCCCTCAGTTCATGTGACTGCGCCTTAGCAACTTGTAAACCTCCCCACCGGGTGACCAGTGCTCATCCAGCTCGTAGCTGCTTCACCCGTCAGGCCACTGCTTTCTCCAAGTAGAAACGAACTGCGCCAACCTCTGCCGAATAGTTTTTTTCATAAGAGAATAGCGCCAGAGGATGTGCGAGAGATTCCCTTGGGAGCACTTCAGCCGGTCGTAGCCTCACAGTCCCACCTAACACCGTATTGCCTCGCTAACAAATTTCTGTGGCTGAAAAACAGCAAACATCCACCGCGCTCCTCACTGGTAACATTTTGCACATATGCCTTCTCATCCAGGAAACCTCGGTCTCATCACGGGCTTCTCCTGTGAAAGAACCACCGTCCAAACATACGAACGAGGTGCAAAAAGCCGCCGGATAACTCTGCAAATGCCTAATCAACTGGACGCGAAAAATTCTCTGGAACATATCACTAGGACGGTGCTCCTAAGCTTCTATGATATTCATGAAAAAACTATTATTTGACGCGTTTGCCGGAACTAAGTCAGCATAATCCACGTCTACGGCTGCCTGACGACTATCGAGCTGTGCGCACTTTTTTTATTTTCTGAATTTAGAAGTCTGCTGCGCTATCACGATGGAGCAGCTCAGCTCAGAAAGCAGTGGCTGCCTCTGGGAAAGCGGCTCCACCCGAGAATGACAGAAACTTAGGCCGGCAGGATGGCTGACCAACAGAAACACAAGTCTCCAAGCTTGCCAAACAGCAAGTGAAAAAGAGCCGCAGGAGGTGCGTTTTATAAAAGACGATCGCAAGGGCTACAAACTGAGGCACCGTCCGTCTATGCCACAGTGAAGCCCTGCTCTGCTGCTCGGACAACTTTCCCGGCTCCCACAAAAACCTTGCAGCCAGTGTGGAATAATGCATTTGATTATCATCAACGCAGTTTGCGGTGAAATACATACAGGCGGGGGCCGGAAAGCTAAAATGAGCTGGTGGTCGCACGGGTCGGCAGCTTGGAACTTTCAGAGGCAGCAGCGGAGAGGCCCGGAACAGGTGCTCGCTGCCCCTCTCACAATGCAATAACACAACAGCGACTGTGTAGAAAATATGAAATATGTACTTTTTTTCCTGTTCCCAACGCACTACTGGCTACATACCATTAATCACATCAGCACCGTAATACTCGCCAACATCAGAGAGATGCAGCTAGGCGCCACTGAGTGCCGGCTCCACGAGTCGCTGGGAACTCTCGAGACGACGAGAGCCGGTCACTTGAATGACTTCCGCAAACAGATGTGTGAATAATTGCAACTAATGACTGACTGGAAGCGCCGAACTCCGAATCCCTTGAA